CATACAGTGCTGTCAAACAATTAATCGCATCAAAAATAAGTTTTTATTTACATAATATATGTGCGTGTTTGTGTATATTTATTATGTATATATAAATACACACACATGCATGTAAATATTTTGAAAATATTTACATCTATTTACATGTATATATTTATATTCATATAATTTATATTACATATAAATATATTTAATATATAAACGTAAAATTTTTCTTAAATATATACATGTATGGGTGTGTATTTATATACACATAATAAATATACACAGTACACACACATATACTATGTAAATAAAACTTTTATTTTGGATGCGATTAATCGCGATTAATCGTTTGACAGCACTAAGAATTTCTATCTATCTATCTATCTATCTATCTATCTATCTATCTATATAATGAATATATATGCAAAATATATAAAATATGATTTTTTTAAATAAAGAGTATATTTAGGAATTAGGAATTTTGTACTATAATAAATATATAATTAATGAATATTTTCAATTTATGTAAGTATCGATGCAGTATAACTAGCGTAAGTAAGTAAAAGAAAAAAAAATATGATGTTAGCAATCAAAGTCAGTTCAAGTCATCCTGTTTAACAGTCATATTCTGCAGTCAGTATTTCATTCTTTCATATTAATTGGTATAAATCACAATTGCAATCTCATTAGATAAAATGAGAGATGAGTTATTTTCCCTAGAGCTTTTATTAATTAGCTACACACTGAGATTAAGTGGGGCTTTTGGCAATCTGTGGGATTTTATCATAAATCTAAATCACAGACACAACAGTTGCTTCTTTGCAAAGCTTTGGATTCCATTCAAATAATTAAAATTAAAATTATTCAGACATATCCACACAACCACACAGGATTTCTCTGTGTGTGTGTGTGTGTGTGTGTGTGTGTGTTGCTGGGGGTCTCCCAGACATACGCCAGCTCCCTCGCGGGTTTCCATAGCAACAGATATATAGAGTGAAGGCACGTTCCCTGATGCAACGCAACAATTACAATTCTCTTACTCTGCGTCCCATCCCCCCATATTTCCACCTCCCCATCCCACCCCTCCCTGTTCCTCCTTCATCTTTCCTTCTTTAAGGCCACATTCACTTACTTTCCCAAAACAAAGAGTGAAATAAAAAAAAAACTCTCAACCATTCATCACATTTTCATTCCTGTGGTTACCACAAAAAAAAAATGCATCAGTAGCTGCTTAACTAGTTGTTAATTAGCTGTTGGCCTATGCCTACTTTATTATATGTTTACAACTACTTTATAAGCAATACACTGTATTTACACACCACGATGATACAGAGCTGATTTATCTGTTGGCTTTTGTTTAATCTTGTCATGAATATTAAATAATGTACTTTGAAAAAAAAAAGTGACTAAAATAACAAAAGATTGGTACACCATTTGCACCATTATGGTCTATACATTTCTCGCATAAGTATATATATATATATATATATATATATATATATATATATAT